ATTGTCCCATTACTTTTGGTCCCTTAACAAGTGGGAGGCACATATGCAAAACTGTTGTAATTCCTACACCGTTCACCTGATTTGGATGTAAATACCCTCAAATTAAAGCTGACAGTCTGCAGTTAAAGCACATCTTGTTCGTTTCATTTCAAATCCATTGTGGTGGTGTATAGAACCAAAAATGGTAGAATTGTGTCGATGTCCCAATATTTATGGACCTGACTGTGTATGTGTATATATATATATATATATATATATATATATATATATATATTTTTTTTTTTTTTTTATATATATATATTTTTATATATATATATATATATTTTAATCCACTAACTGTTGACTGACTCACTGCCTCTATTCCAAGCATCAACTACTCTTTCAATAAAATAATACTTTCTAAGATTAGCTTTGAACTTTCCTCCTGCTATTTTGAGGCCATATCCCTTTGTTCTTGATCTCTGCTTCATATTTAAAATACTGGCTCCTGGACTTTATTCACACCTTGATGTATTTAAAGGTTTCACCCTATTGTTTTTAATCTCTCCAGACTGTACATATTAATCTCCTGAAGTCTCTCCTAATATATTTTAAATCTCAGACCTTTCACCATTTTTGTTGCCGTCTCTGGACTTCTAAATATCTGTATAGAGGAATCGGGACCTCCATTCCCTGCTGGTGATTCCTTTAGTGGTAAATCAATAATAATCAACTCCTGTGTTCTGATTCTGGTGCCTTGATGTCCACTGAAAGCTTGAATATCTGCAAAACTGCACTATTTAAAAACAATAACGCTGTATTCATTGTTAACCAGTTGCCGCTCGGCCTATAGCCGGATGGCTGCCGGTGGAACAACTCGTCCCTCTGGGTGGACGCCATATGGCGTCCTCTCCGGAACGTGCAGTGCACATACCCGCAGGGCCGCGTTGCGGCGCGATCGGTCACTGGCCATGTACCTTGGACACGGCCAATGACAGATCTGTGTACCGGCCCCATTGCCAGTACCATGTGACCTGCTGTGATCAATCACAGCAGGTCTCATGACAGTTGTATACAATGGATGGCTTCCTTTCATGCTATCCATTGTATACAGGAGCGGACTGACCATTTGGAAACTTGGGCACCGCCCGAGAACCCAGGGTCAGTAGGGGGCCCCATGAGATGCCCCTGGTACCTTTTGTTAATGGTAGATCATTTTATTTTCCCCTCTGTGACTACAGCAGTCTTCTGATCAGCCAGCTCATGGCCAAGCTTTTCTAATCAGTGTGCACCTACTGCCTCTGGGCACTCCTCTCCCTCAGCAGCCATGCCTGGCTCAAGCTGAAGGGGAGACCAGGGGTGGACTGACCATTTGGAAACTCGGGCACTGCCCAAGGGCCCGGGCTCAATAGGGGGCCCCATGAGATGCCCCTGGTACCTTTTCCATAGGCTTTTTTGAGTTTGGGCAAGGACACAGGGGCCCCATGATCCCCTATTGCCTGGGGGCCCCATGAGTTATCAGTCCGCCCCTGATTGTATACAAGTGTGTCTAGCTGCGAATGGTCACAGCGATCACATGCACAAGCTGGGTCAATCACAGTCCAGCTGTGTCATGTGATTAGCCGTGGCCAAATTACAGCTAATCACAAAAAAAACCCTGAATGAATCGATTTAATTCAGGTTAATGCTTGCTTACAGTACAGTGTGGGTGCAGTGTTGTATGACCGCGCAATTGTCATTCAAAGTGTGACAGCACTAAAACCTGAAAATTGCAGGAAAGGGGTAAAAATGCCCGGTATGGAAGTAGTTAACATTGTCCTGTACTAGGCAGATGCAAAGTGGAACCTCTGGCAAATAGCTAAAGCCAGCTACACATGATGAAAATATCGGACATATGATAGTCCTTTTTTTTTGCATGCTAGTCTCATAGCAAAAATTAAGTGGTTACTAAAGTTGCAAAAATTCTCATATGACAGAATACAACTTTGGAACTGATGTAATGTGTTGTATTGTAATGTATTCTTTCATTTCTGAACATGCGTGGTCTTGCTTTTTCCGATTTTTTTTTTTTCCCCCAGGGCGAATATTGTACTGATTAAAGGAAAATCATACGATCTGGTATCATACTGAAAAAAAATTTTCACGCTTGTTTATTTCGAATAATTTCAGACGAAGTTGTGTACCAATGATCAGATTATCATACGATCGATTTGAAAGTGATATTTTTCATTTAATTTTCTGATCATGTGTACTAGGCTTAATTCTTCAGTCAGATAAACAAATATTAACCATTCTACTTATCAGGATTTCACAATTGTTCAATCACCCTTGCCATTCTTTTTAGCCAGCAAGATGATTCCACTCTTTGCTTTTTTTTTTTTACAGCTTCTCGGGTCATCAGCTTGGTCATTGCACCAAGATGATAATGCTGGTTTAATGACCAATGAGAAAACTGGGTGCAGAAAGGTGACACCAGAAGCTGCAAAGCAGAATCAAGAAATGGGGTGGTCACCTACCTGGATTTGTGGAGTGGAAGAAATATGTGAATGATGTGAATGATGATAGTTTCTGGTAAAACTTACAAGTTTTTTAAAAGGTACAAAAAATCAACTGTAGAGTTAGCAATTAGTCTAGATTTCCACATTAAGAGAAGAACTAATTGAGTTTAGTGTGCACTTAAGGAAGAGAGTTCTTGAGCTGGAATTTTCATAAATAAGGTGGAACTTTATCCATAACAACATATTCAAAAATGAATGCCCTTTGGCAAGAAACATACATTCCACAGTAATAATTATGCTACCAAATTAGAGTGTGCCGTAAATTGCCTTCACAGTTGCTCCTGTTTCATCCTGCTGGAGGCTGCCATTTTGCTGAAGCCCAGAGCCCCTGAGTAGCAGTAAATCTTTAGGCTGTCAGCAGATTAGCCTCTAGTGGCTTTGATTTTTGGCACAGTGCCAAAAAATATAGAGCAACTGAGCATGTGCAGAGCAGGATGAGATGTGTATTACTTGATTTTAAATGGTATATGAACTTATTTTAATGTTTTATATAGCTATGCCTGCAAAAGGGACCAGCCTGAAGTGGTCTAGCAGGACTTAAATTTCTGACTAAAGTTCCACTTTAAAAGAGACGTATTAGCTTTGCAAAAAAAAAAAACATTATACTCACCTAGGTGATGCAGCATTGATCCCCTGCCACCTCTGCAGTGAGAACTGAGTGATCAAACACCATGATCGCTCAGTTCTCCCCCTCCGCAATGAGCAGAGAGCCAAGACTGTCGGTTTCTAGGTTACTTGCTCTGCCCCTCCAGCGTTCACTTGAGCTCTGGGTTGTTAACCACTTCCAGACCGGACACTTTTACCCCCTTCCTGACCAGGGCAATTTTCAGCTTTCAGCGCTATCACACTTTGAATGACAATTGCGCTGTCATGCAACACTGTACCCAAATGAATTGTTTACCTTTTTTTTGAGACAGATAAAGCTTTATTTTGGTGGTATTTATTCACCGCTGGGATTTTTATTTTTTTTGCTATGTAAATGAAAAAGTCCAAAAATTTTTTAAAAAAGTGTTTTTTTTTAAAGTTTGCAAATAAATAATATTTCATCATAAATCTTTGCCAAAATTTATTCCGTTATCTTTTTAGTAAAAAAAAAAAAATCCAAATTAGTTTAGAACCAAAAATTATAATTTTTAAACATTTTTTTTTACATTTTTATTTTTTTTATATTTTTTATTTTAATTTTTTTTTTACATACTGTCACCCTAGCAGTACAGTGTCACCATGGTGACACTGTACTACTTGTGGGGGGTGATGAAGATTTTTTTTTTTTTTTTACACTGATTGCTTTTACACCCATATAGGATGTAAAAGCAATCATTTCTCTTTCTCTCTGTCTGCATTCTTGCACTCATTGAGAAGTACTGAGTGAGCTGTGATTGGTCACAGCTTGTCACATAGTACAAGGCTTTTGTGAATAGCCTTGTACCATATGACCTCTGTGATCATTCACAGATTTCACACGTAGTAAGCAATGATGTCACAAGTGACATCTTGCTTACTACTTTGCATGTGATCACTGATTGGCCAATCAGTGATCACATGATCGGGACCTCGTACAGAGGTCCCGTCCGATGATCGGTGTTTCACTGTGTCCGGAGGACACAGCAGGCACCGGATCGCGGTGCTGCGCGCTCCCAGGGAGCGCACACAAGCAGGGTGTGGGGAGGCCGTTTATAAACGGCCACCCGACTCTGCACTGCCACCGTCCGGCCATTTATATGCAACGGCCGGTCGGGAAGTGGTTAAAGGGGCAGGAGGGACTGGCTCTGGCTCTCAGCGGATCTCTGAGAGGCTGAGCCAAGGTGCTGGTTCAAGCTTCTGGGTGGATCCCGACCATATCTTTTCAAAGCCTGGACTGGCTCTGTGATGTTGGCCGACAGCGGGCTTTAGCCCACTGTCGGCTAAACACAGGTCACAGGAATGCAGAACAAACTGCACTCCTGTGATCCATAGGAGAAGTACAACCAAAAAAATATTTGGCTGTACTTCTTCTCTTTAAGCTCTATTGTTAATAATTACATATAATATAATCTTATTATTAAGTACATGACCACATCTGTACTCATGCTGTTACCCCAATGGAAGGATCAAAATAGCTAATGCAAAAAATGTAACTTACCCCCCGGTCACATCGGGTGCAATTTGGCATGCGATTTCCATGCCATGCAACTTGCAAATCATATGCCAAGTCACACCCTATTGTCTGCTATTAGAGCGGTCATATCAGTGCGGTTCTGACTTGGTCAGAGTCGCACTGATTTCTAAAGTAGTGCATGCACTACTTTTGCGATTTGCCTAGACATCTGTGTCAGATGTCACTGTACTTCACTGTAAGTCGCACGATTTCAAAATCGGCTTTGATGTGACCGGGGGTTAATATTATTTAGAGATCATTAGAGTGTACTAAACCCGTTGTACAGTACTGGGCATTATAGATGGATCAGAGGTTACAACACTCACCTTGCTGTAGGTAATGGAATCAAATAGTCCACTTATCTCTGATGGGGTATTCACTTCATCTTCATCTGATGTTAGAGGATGGGATGAGGCCAAAGCATCCACTGCCATCACCCTATGTGTATCGTACAGTACTGACAGGTCTTTCTGTAAAAGATGGAGGACAACGCAGATAAAGTATTTTAATGACATAATTTCATGTAAAATATATTTATACCAATTATAAAAGAAAACGTATTCTATTGAAACATGAATATTGCAATTATTGCATCAATCAGTCAATCATTCTACGTATATGTTTCTGCAAAGGAAAGCTATTGGCTGGGCTATAATTTTCATCTCACCATGGTAGAATGGATGGTGGATTTACTAGGTGAGACTATTTTTTTTAGAAGGCTTTGCCTATATTTGACTAGATATCAAAAAGAAAACATCAATTCCAATTTACCAGAACTCACAATTTTTCCTTTAGTGCTTTTTGAGTCTGTGATCACAACACCCACAAATTATTGTTTTCATTAGTAAAATGCACAGCTCTAAAATTTTGCATTGTGAAAATGTTTACAATGTAGCAAGCTGACTACTCACTGACCACTCGTATAATGTTGAAATACTTATATCTTCATACCGTAATATATCATGTAAGATAGATCTTACATTAAATCAATAAAAATGATTGCATGTATATACTTAAAGATACATATTCTGCACAAAAAGGTTGTTGTTTTATTGAAAGATAGTCCCTATTTTAATGTCATTAGCAGCTGAAAAGAACAAATAATCTGATCAGTATGACAAAAAAAGAAAGATAAAAATAATACAATATTTTATTTCTGCAATGAAAAGACACAAAAGAAGGATTTGGCCCATGACTAGTTTCTAGCAATATTGTTCCCCCTCTTTTCATCTCTGCCGCAAAGTCATCATTTATTTAAACACAGTGAGAAAAAAAGGCAAAAATGTTCTACGTACTATATTCCAGGTGGGTTCTGCATGATCCGCTCCCAGATATTCCACGTAAGAGGCAAAACCTTCATTCAGCCAAAGATCATTCCACCATTGAATTGTCACAAGGTTCCCAAACCACTAAAATGGAAGCAGATTATCAACATTATCAAATAATAACAAAGTGTATTTTTGACATTATATAACCTTAGAACACAGATGGACTTTCCCCATGTGGAACAAACAAACACCAAACCTCTCTCTAAAGCAAAGTGGACAAAGACAACATATTATTTTTGTGGCTTATATCAGATTATTTTTATGTTATTAGCCATTCCAACTTCAGGACCAGAGACACAGGTGCTTGTAAGTTTTATTTGGAATGGATCTGCTACTAGAAGCCATGAAAATACCTTAGTTTAATCATTTTTATTTTCAATTTATTAATATATTTATTTCTAAATGACAGTACTTAGCTGCTGTTGTATATTAAAAATCTTGTTATTAAGGAATAGATAATGGAAGCACCTGATGGGCAAGTTCATGAGCAATAACTGTGACAACTCTCTCCTTGTTGCTGATGGAAGATTCCTTTTCGTCCCAGAGAAGAGCAGTTTCTCTGTAGGTCACCAGCCCCCAGTTCTCCATGGCTCCAGCACTGAAGTCAGGCAAAGCGACCTGGTCTGCAGAATAAATTTAAAAAAAAATTTAACACAAAAAAAAAAAAGAAATAGACCAAAATAATAATAAATAATTTTAAAAAAAGTATATATATATACACATATATATATATATATATATATATATTGTATTATATTATATTTTGTTGCATTATAGATGTCTTTGGACAGTTTACTGATGCAGAGTGAGACAATATTGCCCTAAAGCTGTAATGATCATATGGTTAACTACTCTTTCATTACTTAACCACTTCCTGTCCGGACACTTTTACCCCCTTCCTGTCCAGGGCAATTTTCAGCTTTCAGCGCTATCACACTTTGAATGACAATTGCGCGGTCATGCAATACTGTACCCATATGAATTTTTTACCATTTTTTTGAGACAGATAAAGCTTTATTTTGGTGGTATTTATTCACCACTGGGATTTTTATTTTTTTTACTATGTAAATGAAAAAGTCCAAAAATTTTGTAAAAAAAGTGTTTTTTTTAAATAAAATTTTGCAAATAAATAATATTTCATCATAAATCTTGGCCAAAATTTATTCCGTTATTTTTTTTAGTAAAAAAAAAAATCCAAATTAGTTTATAACCAAAAATTATAATTTTTAAACGTTTTTTTTTTATTTTTTTTTTTATTTTTTTTTTTATTATTTTTTTTTTTTTTTTTTACATACTGTCACCCTAGCAGTACAGTGTCACCATGGTGACACACTGTACTACTTGTGGGGGATGATGAAGATTTTTTTTTTTTTTACACTGATTGCTTTTACACCCATATAGGATGTAAAAGCAATGATTTCTCTTTCTCTCTGTCTGCATTCTTGCAGTCATTGAGAAGTACTGAGTGAGCGTGATTGGTCACAGCTTGTCACATGGTACAAGGCTGTTGTGAATAGCCTTGTACCATGTGACCTCTGTGATCATTCACAGATTTCACACGTAGTAAGCAATGATGTCACAAGTGACATCTTGCTTACTACTTTGCATGTGATCACTGATTCGCTAATCAGTGATCACATGATCGGGACCTCGTACAGAGGTCCCGTCCGACGATCGGTGTTTCACTGTGTCTGGAGGACACAGCGGGCACCGGATCGCGGTGCTGCATGCTCCCAGGGAGCACGCACAGCTAGAAAAGGCGGGTGCCGTTTATGAACAGCAACCCGCCCCTGGACTGCCACCGCCGTGCCGTTTATAAACAGCAGGCGGACGGCAAGAGGTTAAAGAATAATCTGAAGTGGATGAACAGGCAGGATTTTCAATGCAGAAGAGACATGTTTTAAACCTACCTACCTGCCTGTCTGGCCCTGAATGCAACCGCAGCTCACTATAGAGATTTGACAATGACAAAGTGGACTGAACTCCTGGGCATGCACAGGGGTGACACCATATCAGCCCGGCCAATGAAAGTGGCCAGTGTTCGATACCCAGAAGCCGGAAAATATAAGCGGCCGGCGGGAAGTTCCAGGATGTCGCATTGATGGAGCCAAGGTGAGTATAGTTCCACTTTAAAGTATAACTAAAGTTCCCAGATTTTGGGTTGTCCCCAGAACAGAACAAGGGGAAATTTTTAAGTGGAGACAATAATTCTGGGGACAACCAAGGATTCTCTCACTTTGGAGGAATTTCCTCTCACTTGTTGTAACTAGAGGACATGAAAATCTCCCATATGGAACCCAGATGGCAAAAAACCCTGAATGGATATAACTTGACACAACCTGCCTGGAGTTTGCATGTTCTTCCTATGCCTGCGTGGGTTTCCTCCAGTTACTCTGATTTCCTCCCACACTCGAAAGACATGTTGGCATATTAATTGCCCCTGTCTAAATTGGTCCTAGTAGGTGTATGTATGAATCTGAGTTAGGGATCTTAGATTGTACGCCCCTTGAGGGCAGGGACTGATGTGAATGTACAATATATACGTGAAGCTCTCTGTATATTGACAGCACTGTATAAGTACCTCTAATAATAATAATAATAATCCTCCCTTACTCTATCCAAAATAAAAAAAAATAGCTTTTAGTTCTACTTTAATCCATAATCAAAGGATATGATCACCTTTTTATATCCCGGCAAATAAAGCAGGCTTGCAAATATATCCTTGTACATATTCCTTTAAAGTTGTCATCTACTCTCCACATTTTCTGGACTTGACAACACATTGCACCTTTCTGGAAAGAGGTACTTAGCCTTTTGCAGCTACTTTTACAGGCTCATATTTCATTTTATTTATTATAGGTACTTGTATAGTGCCGTCAATTTATGTAGTGCTTTGCATATATATTGTACATTCACATCAGTCCCTAACCCTCAAGGAGCGTACAATCTAAGGTCCCTAACTCACATTCATACACACACATACTAGGGACAATTTAGACAGGAACCAATTAACCTACCAACATGTCTTTGGAGTGTGGGGAGAAAAGCAGAGGAAACCCACGCAGGCACAGGGAGAACATGCAAACTCCAGGCAGGTGGTGCCTGGATGGGATTTGAACTAACAACCCCAGTACTGCCAGGTGGAAGTGCTAACCATTTAGCCACATTTGAGCCCATCCACTTCTTGCTGGGCCTACCTTTTCCAGGCCTCTCCAAATTTTCCAGGAAACTATCCTCTCATGTCCTAACTGCTGTCAGGAGAACCATTCCTATGCATTGGCTTTCTACTACGCCTCCTACTCGATTGGTTATAGCAGAGATTAGAAGAATGGAGTACCTCACTGCTATGCATGCTGATGTCTCTATCTTTGAAGCAGTTTGGGAACCGTGGGATCTTTCCGTTTCCGATTTGTCTACTCAATTGTCTAAAAAATGTTGGCTAATTCACTGTTATGCACTGACATTGTATATATCTATATGCCTGTCATAGGTTAGCCTATTTCTTTGTTTTTTCATTGACTTGTGATGGTAGTTTCACAATTCTATACAACTCTGTTTGTTGTAAGCTCTTTAAACAATCAATAAAAAGTAAATTATAGGGGAAAAAAAAGCTGTCATCTAGGCCCTGCCAGTTACAAACTATCAAAGTGTGACCAGGGGCGGACTGACAACCTCATGGGGCCCCCGGGCAATAGGGGATCATGGGGCCCCTGTGTCCTTGCCCAAACTCAAAAAAGCCTATGAAAAAGGTACCAGGGGCATCTCATGGGGCCCCCTACTGACCCCAGGCCCTTGGGCAGTGCCCGAGTTTCCAAATGGTCAGTCCACCCCTGAGTGTGACGGAAGCCTAGCAAAGCAGACAGCACAACAAGAAGACTGCATATGCATTGAAATAATAATCATCATTTTAATACTGATGCATGTTATACTGTATTTTGTGTTCTGTTGTGTGGGATAGATACATAGATAGAAAGATCATTTCCTTCAGTCTAGAACAGAACAAAGTACACAGGGAGATCATCAACCACTCACCTGATTTTGGCAGAGGGTAAGAAACATTATAATATTTCACGAAAAAATCCAAAATTGGCTCTGTGACATTCAGTGCATATGCTGCTTGATTCTCATCAATCGCCTTTTTACGTCCCCAGATTTTTACCTAAAATAGTGTAAACCATAAATATCATGTACAACTACAGAAGATTGGTATTTTTCATATGTATCCACAAATACAGACTGTGCAACCAAGTGCCAATTCATGACATACGGGTGGCTGCAAGAGAGCTGTCAAGAAAATCAATGTGAACTCTGCCTACAAAAATGACAGCTTTCTGTGCTGCTAAAGAGAATCTAAAAGTGTTGTGTTATATGGTTTCTTTCTTTTGTATGTTCAGTACTAAAAATTACAAATCAAATATATCTCTGACTTTTATTAGTCATGTAACAGGAAAATGTTGCAAAAAAAATATCATATTTGCCACTTGCAGCCGGTACATAATTTTGAATCATTTTAATAATAAAGTGGAACTACACTCTATCAATTAACATTGACTATTTTGAATACTTATGCTGCAGCATTAGTAAATAGATAGAAATGTATATCATATTTACTTGTTTTAAACAATTTTTTTTACGTTTCATTAGTTACTTCCTGGTTTCTTACCTAGGCAACTGGTGTTATACTTCCCATGAGCCTTTTGGAGGGGAGAAGGGTTTTTCTAAGCTAAGCACACCCTTCAGCATGTATGCATGAGCTAAGGGCAGGTGGACTCCAGAATGTCAATGATACATGAATCATCTGCCCTTACTCAAGATGGCTCTGGGGGGGTTGTTTTTCAAGTGATTTCTCAGCAAAATAAAGCATGGAGACACAGATGTTTGCTTTGAATATTAAAAATGAAGTAAAGGATTCTCCTTTAAATGTTCTCCTTTTGATAAAAAAAATTATTAATGAAATTTTTTGCAGGTAAAAAGATGTGCATTATTTTCTGCTGCAGGAT